AAAGCAAATTTAATTCACATTCCTTCTTCCCTATCACCAGGAAAATATTTTTTTTAACACAGTGCCTCTAGCACACTAATTACCATTACATTCATCACCCTTACCTAATTTCTAAGTGTCTCCCCTTTTGGGCTGTCAGCTTTCCAAAAGTGAAGCTAAAACCAGAAAGTTTGACTATGGAATAAAACTTTGTAATAAGACAATAAGAGGGAAATTTATAGAGTCTTTGCCATTAGGACATTTAGCTTAAGAACATAACTATACTTTTTTTTTCTTTTTCTTTTTCCTTTTTACGATAAAATGTATTGAAGCTTACACTGGGCCAGGTACTATGTGTGTACATTATAAGCCTTACTTCTATCTAGTAATCCTCATAATAATCCTAGAAGATAGGTGTCACTAATACTTTCACTTTACAGATCACAAAATGTAAGCTTTAGAAATGTAAAATAATTAGCCTAATGACATAAAACAATTAAATGGTTGAGTTGGGTCTATCACCCACATTGGTCTAACTTGAGAATATGATTTTATAATCTCTTCTCTATATTCTACTGCCTTTCTGTTTCCATGAGTGATGGGAAAAAAATATCACCAGGAGGTTGTCTATATTTGGGTATAAGAATCCCAGCCTGAGCAAAGCAGAATCATACATGAGATAGGCATACATATGCTTAGAGATAGAACTTAAGATGGCAACAGAGTGAAACAGTACATGATTTCTGACATTGGTCCTGCACAATCCCAGCTCTGTCACTTCCAAGCTCTAAGACCTTCATCACAATTAACTTCACTTGTTTAAGCCTCATCTTCCATATTATGGAAGAAGGATGATAATACTACTAGACAGAGGTGTCATGAGAATCATATAAAAGAATCCATGTAAAGCACAATACCTGAAACTAAAAAAGTGCTTAATAAATTATAGTTACGATAACTTTTATATTAAGTTGTAGTAAATAAAAGCAAGCTAGAAGTAATAATAAAAGATTGTCTAGGATAGGGAGAAAACATAAGAAAGTAAAGGAAAACAAATTACTAAGTGATAAAACATGTCACTGAAGGATATTTTGGAGGATACATTAAGAGGGACAGCAAAGTCTAAGATTGTGCTTAATGTAAATCTTCTGGTAGAATGAAGTAGCAAAAAAAATTTCAGTAAGAATTTCAGCAAGATATATCTAAATAGATATAGATATTTCATTCCTACACTAGGAATAAAAAAAGATCACTTATTATATGTTACGGGATAAGCTAAAGTTTGAGGTTGTCAAAAACATCAAGAACAAAATATGGCACAGTCAAAAATAAATCATCACGTTTTTGATTCTGAGCATGTTGACACTAATTTATATACCTAGCCAATGTTCTGATAGAAAGTCATGAAAGGATATTATTACTTAGCCAAATTATTCAGTCCTTTCAGGCTGGCTGCATCAACTCTGCTGATTTTGTTGCCATCAAGATGTAGTTCAGTAAGGGAAGGAGGAAGACCTAGAATATGGAAATATATGATACTACATTAGCAGATAAACATTGTAAGTACAGAATGTGGAAAGACTTAATGAGGGCATATGCTATCAATTTTTTAAAAGATGTACAGTTTCAAAGAATAAGTTTTGCTTTTCATCTTTTTCCTTCTTCCCTTTCATAATGATATATGCTTTTGGAAGTAGTTCAAACCCTTGGTACTTTTCTCTTAGATTGACTTTAACCAAAACATGCACAGTTTTTATCATGTAGTGGATTTTTGTCATTGCAATTGTAGAACTGAAGTCAAACCCTGAATTTTATAAATATCTTCCACTTTTGTTAATGGACTAACACTTACA